TAATAATAAAATAATAATAATAATAATAATAATAATAATAATAATAATAATAATAATAATAATAATAATAATAATAATAATAATAATAATAATAATAATAATAATAATAATAATAATAATAATAATAATAAATAATAATAAATAATAGTAATAATAATTATTATAATTATAATAGTGATCATTATTTTTAATATTGATAACAATAGCAATAGCAATAGTACAATAATAACACATTGTTTTGAATGTGAAATTAAACGTACTACCTTTCAGACAACGTTGTCCTACCCGAACTGTTGTATAACAAGAACAAGGAAGTACTGCAGTACTAGACCGAAAAAGGTGAAAACTACATAACATATCTGTCGTTCACATCCATTTCTGACAGTGTGCCGAGTAACTAAAGAATTGCAACGGAATGAACTAGTGGAAATATTTTGATAGGTATAACTGAATTGAAAAATTAAGAAAATTAAGAAAATCTCGTCACTCAAATTCTAACAAAAAAGAAAGCTTTGTCGACGAAAAATAAAAGAAAGCGATAGAAGAAACCCGCTCATCATTTCCAACATCTCCAATTTTGGGCCGATCAGTAAGAATCCTAGGAAAACAAGAGGCGGCGAAAAATAATACCACCGTTCATAACAGAAAAGCTACGCAATACAATGATAAACCCGGAAAATCTTTACCATTAATCTAACGTACTTGGAATTCAAACTGAGAGCCATCAAAAAGAGATTCGCTGGAGAGAAATACGATTGTAATTGCTTTAATCATTACTAAATCGCAGGCTAACCATCCATAAGCCAAAGCCTTGCAAAGAGGACGATAATCGTCAAGACTTGCTAATCTAAGAAAGGTGGATTTCTTTTTCATTTGGATTAACAGGATTCTACAGCATGTCATTCTCATCTATTAAGCAACCAAGATTGATCATTAGAAACCATAAAAATTCAAATTTTGAATGGAATTTGGTTCTTAAGAGAACCTTTTTCTTTAAACAAATGAATTTGGAAACTAGTCCTTTCTCTTACTGTCTTATTGTTTCGCATTTACGAGTGGTCCTGAATATGAAAAACAGAAAGGAACATACATCAGTTTCTTCTACACTAGCAGTGTCTTTATAATAATTTTCGAACTTCTCTTCTGTTAACAAAACACAAGAAGTTACTGTGAACGACTCTGAGTGGGACGTTCAAACCAGTAAGTGATGATTACAGGATTCCAGTACTTTAAAAATGTAAGACAATATAGCTCTGTGTCTAAAGCATCTCCTTACACCATAGAAAGAAAGAATTTTGTCAAAAGAGACGATGACGGAGGAGAAGGAAGGAAACACAAAACACAAAAACACTGAAATTCCAAACCCTAATTTGGCTTTTTAAAATTTGTTCTGCACGAAAATTAATCATGATAGAGACATTTCAACTACTGAAACAACCCAATCAGTGAACGGCGAAAGAGACGCCTTGATGGTCATTAGATGGAATTCTATTCAGAAGTCACTTCCTTTCCCGGGAAATACCAAACATGACAATACTATCTTTCCTTATGCTGTATGAAGTTCAGGACGATGATGATTCAATATGATAGGCAAGAAACAGAGATTTTAATGCCTATTTTAATAAACTGATAAAAAGTTCTTCGATGCATGCATATCACTTTATCTATGTAATTTTTTTTTATATAAGAACGATAATCAGAACTGAGAACAAAGAATTAATGAAGAGGACTTCATTTATTTTACTTTTTCTTATTTAACATTCCAATTCACATTCAGGAAAGATAACAAATTTTATGCTGCTGTTGGACTGATGCTTACATTCCTCTCTTATTCATTGAAATGAATCTGTTATCAATAAGTTTGTGTTGTATGGGAGCCTGAAGGGCATTTCGGACGTCTTAGGAAAAATTTCCAGCCAGAAGGCTAAATTTCTTGAATATTACAAGACCTATATTATATTTTTACTATATCACATAAAAAAAATGGGCAAAAACAGTAATGACAAATGATGATAAGCTTATATGACAGACAGTGAATATGGAAGAAAGAGAAACGTGGAATTTTCGAATCATCTAGCAGAAAAGAAACTGATATAGCACAGACCATTATCGCAATATCACAGTTTCATTAATATCCACAGAATACATATTTCCAAAAAATATTCAGAAATATCCATTTGTATCGTCCATAGATCATTGTTTACAACATATCACTAAAACTCATCTTAAATGTCTGTCTACATAGAGCAAAAATTTAATTTTCCATCTTCTTACCTATATTAACATTTCAAGCTTCTCACCTTGACTATCCATATATGTTTTCAACAATATTTAGGATACACCTCAATATATAAGCCTGAAAAAAATTGCAAAAAAAAAAAACACTCCTCATACTTTGCTTATTCTAAGTATAGAATAGCCTACTCGTTGCAAATGGAACAATTTTGTCAAATATCAAGCTGATATCATCAAAAAAATCTCTGCTCCTTACAAAACCATCAACGTTACAATCAAATTTCGTTGTCCTAATTACTGCGCGCAACGTTCCCCAAACGCCAAAGTTGATGCACTTCTCAGACTAAGCGCTTCGATCGAAAAAACAGGATTACTGCTGGTCGCAATCTCCGGTAATTATTCCATTAATAGCCGTCATTCTTTGCGATTTCTAGATAATGTAAAATAAACTCATTTTCCCTGCACCGTTCTAAACCCATTCCTTGCTTTGCAATGGCAAGGCGAAGACCTACCAACAACGTTTTCAGCTCCAACAAATGCTGGTGTTGAAAATATTGTTCACAAATTGTTACAACTATCAGATATCAGTCCAAACTGCTTACTGATTCGAGATAAATCTGTCATCCATGGGATACACTGAAGTTGAAGCACTATTTTGGCTCGTCCAGTTCACATTTCAGGAATTTGAGACCAAATGGAAGTATTTAGGATCTAGAATAAGGGTTATTGTTAGGCTTAATCAATTTATCTATATTACAAGACATCAATACTAAACTAACCTGATCCCTATCTTATATTTTTAAATGCTCCAATTAAATAAGAAAAGATCTGTCAACCACACATTCCGTTTCTCGCTGATTCAGGAAATGACAATCAGGCTTCAGCTGAAGATGTACGAGCGTCAAATGACAATCACATATAAGCAACACTTTTCAACCAGTGACAAGTTTCTAACTGTTAAATAATCATGGAGAGAGAAGAAGCATCTAGTTGACACCGGATAATCGAAATATATATTTTTACTAACAAGACTTTTCCGGAAAATTTTTTTTGCTATCGCTTCCAATGCCTCCGGAAATCTTCAGGTTTTTTGATTTAAAAAAAAAGCTGAAATTTATTTTTTCGCTAAATAAAAACACAATCACTTACTAACAATAAAAAGGGTGGCTGCAAGCGTTTAAATAAGGAAGTCAAAGAAGGAAAAATGCTTTTCTTTTTTCGAAAACCGGAAATCATACATTCCTAAATTTAGGGTCATTAGCGCAATAGCTTTTCCGTCGGAGGAAGATAGCGAATTCCTTGCTATTCATAAGTGAAAAACCACTGTTTATTAAATGTTGGACACCTGTATGTTCTTGTGATAGCTCAGCATTTTACAATTTTGGATTTTAATTCTACTCGCAACTAATTTCGTTATTAATGAATCACAAAGTGAATAAATTAATGAGAATAAAAAAGTAGAATGGTGAAGATAATGTTAACATGAGATATTCACTGCTGTTGCGAACCCATCCAACTATAATTAATTGCATCATTATACGCATGAAAATTAAAATATGCACCACTGCACTGATGTATTCAAGCAGTTAGCTAATAAACGCACTGCTGGTAGGGTAGTACAGATACCGTTATAATTTATAGAACTGTGACAACAAGAGAAGAGAAGGCTGGGAACATGACAATCTTAAAAATCAACATTCTTTGGTGGAAATAACAAGTATATTTGAAGAGAGGGAAAAGAAGCAGGAAAACAAGCGTCTCCAAATTGATCTCCTACAAAAAAATATATGAACTGGTGTCATAATTCAGCTCCCAGACACCAAAACATTAGTAAACAACCAAACCACTAATGCTTACAGCCATCTCCAATCGGCTGTAATCATTACACAATTGCGTGATGATATCACAATAAGATGTTAGATAAGTGCTTCATCTCAATTCATGAAACTACTCAAAGTGGAATCATCGTCATTGAGCAGTCCCATATTAAATACCTTTCTCGAACATGTCAAATCAGTTTACAGAATGCAGAAAGGACCTCAGTGAATAAGATGTTGCAGTTATATAGGAGAATCCGTTAAACGACTAAACGATTTGGTCCACGTCAAGAAATATTCTTTTTGAAGGACAAAAAGTTACGTGAACACGGAAAAAACAGATGTAATGTGATAAATTTTCGATAAAAGACATCGATAAAGACAATTATACAGACCTACAATAATTAGAATGCATGTCATTAACAACCGTTTCATGTTTGCAAACCGTTGAAAAGAATTTTAAAAATGGAAAAATGAGAATCAGTGAACGAATATATTAGAGGAAACATGAAAAGTGAACTAAGCGATCAAAAAATAACAATGCTGACTGTCACTACGAATATTCGTAATAAAAATGGAGCCGAAGCTATGGCAGCAGAAAGATCTCGATTTATAAAGCGGGAAAGTTTTGCAAAATAAGTCAGACGATAACAGCGACAACAAAAACTAGCCTAAAAAGACACTTTTCAAAATTGAAAGAATTATCAAGAAAGCTTCATACTTCCCTGACTTGTGAAAACTGCACAGTAATGCTAAACTACTTTCTCTCAAAAAAAAATTAGACTTCGCTCATATCATATTTTTTCCTGCTTTGTCATTGAATTTCAACATCGATTTCTTCAAATATTTTACTGCTCCTATCATTTTTTAATCAGATTTCCGATTTTCAATCAGAAAGCAGATTATCAAATCTTCCTCAATTTATGTATTCAATATAACTTTAATAATGGAAGTTTCTGAAGAAAAATGTTTCTTTTAATAATGGAAGTTTTCGAGGGAAAATGTTTAGCTTCTGAAATCGACAATAGTGACTTCAAGCTGAAATAATTGACGTCTTATATAAGACAGAAATAAGAAACTTTTTCATTCATGGAAGATTTAATACGCCTGCAACATTAAACAAAAAAAGCAAACATAATGTAAAAGTACACCTTTGAAGATCATAAAACAAGGAAAAATTATAGACAGTTTCAACTCCTTTCTAAACCTCATAATAACAGTCATTTCGACTAGTTGAAGTCGTCACTGTCAATTTCTCAAGCTCAACATTAAATATTTTTCGAGCAAAACTCTATTAATCATCCCGAATTCACAAATTCAAAATAAAAATATTGCAAATTTAAAAGCTACTTTCTTTAAGTTGGCAGGTCTACTTGAAAAGAAAGTAGTGAAGCATATTCTGTTCTTAACACAAAGAGTAATGAGAAAGCCTTTTTAACTGTGCGCTATACTTTCGAAACAGAAGAAATACTATTCCGATAATGAAAAGAAAAAAGCATCAAAATAACTTCGAACATACTTCTAATGCAAATCATATTTCTTTACGTGTAATATTACCATTAATTTAACTTTAGGCATTGTTCCTTTTCGGTCAATTAAAATCGATACATTGAGAGCTGTCACTTTATATTATAAAAACAAACCACTTTTCATGAGACTTTCCTTCTGTCCTCTTTTTAAGGATATGGATAATACCCTTATCTTCTCCCATATTTCCAAAACAATAAAGGATTCTCGAATTCACTGGTGACCGAGCTCAGTGGACTAACTGAAAACAAATATCAAGATGAAATTATGATGCTCGTGGAAGTGGAAAATTATTCCTGTAATATAGTGGAAATAAAAGTTGATTGTAAATGTTCCTGATTGAATGCAAAATGCATCTCAACACCGCTCTCCCAACATCAAATGAGTCCATTTCAATTGTCCACTGGCTGCAGCCAGGGAAATTGAAATGGACTCATTTACTTGGGTTTATGTCTTGGATCCATGTCAGTGTTTCAGTAGCTTAGATCATATATCCTTGCTAACACCAATTCAAAATTTTTTAGAAAATCTTGGAGCATATATTTTAGCAAGGACATATGATCCAGGCTGAGACATAGACATGGATCCAAGACATAGACCTAAGCAAATAAGTCCATTTCTCAAAACCATACCGAGCAAATGAATCCACATGTTTCGAACCACCGCAGCGAGAAGTATTAGTGATCTATATCTACGATGTAGTTGTTAGACAGCACCCGCAAGAATTAAATCACCTGAAATCATTCATTTCTCACATAAAAATACCATCAACTCGATTTGAAAGACCACTCCGCCAATAACAATGGCATGTTCCATCTCCCATGGCAGTTGGCATATTTCCGAGCGACCAATTAAATTCATCATAATTTCGTACTCATGGTATCCTGTGTATAGCATTTACTAAGTAGTCTCGACAAAGGTCAAAGTCTCGTGACCTTAAAATCGAAAAAAAGAGACCGTCCGACACAGACTTTCCTTGTCATATCATCTCCAAAGGATGATGATTGAAAACTGTCATCAACGTGCCACATTCCGAATTCTTTAAATGAAAAACAATCACTTAATGCTCTTGAATAAGATACACCTCACTGGAAAAATAACCATCATCAGCAAGAACGCGATGTTTAACAATGCGATATTAGGAACAAGAATGTTCTGAAATGAGAGATTATGAAATTAGATAGTCAACTGGAATGAACAATTACGACACCGCAAACATAACGCGGATAAATAGGAAATTCACTCTGTGAAAAAACTCACAAATGTTGGAAATTCTCGATATTTTCCAATGTTTGCCAAGACCAAAATTTCATATAAATGTATTTCAGTCTGTTCTTTCTATCAAATCTTTTTTCGGAAAATTTAGAGATCACTTGCACAAGGAAAATTTTGCTTATCGTAATTGCTTATCGTAAATATGATTTAAAAAATTGAGTTCCCACTGACCTAGATTCGCGGGGTAGAATACATACAACATGGCGGATTACAGATTGCATCATAAACTCAACTTTAATTAAAAAACAAACCAATTTGAAAAACCAATTTTTAAATCGGTTAAAACCAAATTTTAATTTCTCTAACCGTTTAAGCAGTTTCAATGTTTCTTTTCGACAAATTATTGCTTGGAAATTATACATATTTTAGTTTGACAAAAAATGTTGCAACTGTTATATTCATTCAAAACAAACCTTATTTTACAGAAAAATTGACATTTTTAACAACAGCACTGAAAAAACTTAACAACAATCGCTCACAAAGGACTACGAAAGATGAGATATTAAGGGAAGAAGGAATTTAAATTGCAATCTTACTCCTGCAGCTCAAAACTTGAATTTTAACAAAAGTACTGACAAAGTTCTTTCGAAGTCGTTGCAAAATTCGAATTTTGCATATATAATGATATGAAGTCTAAAGAAGCTCACATGAAGGCATAAAACACATAAATAATTTAAAAGTGATACGAATTAGTTTTTATATTTCCCGGCGAGAGACAATGATTTCCTTGCCATCTCTATCACGCCTTTCATTGATTCATTGCCTCCAATGAAACCAGATGGATGAACGAAAGTGCAGCCCGGTATATCCGCTACCTTTATTAATTCTGCATCACGAAGACCACGCCATGCTTCTGGTAGGGGCAATCTGGAAAACCGGAACTTTAAATGCCTTATAATACCATAACGAATTCTATATGGATAATTTAAGCGAGCACCTTCTAACAAGACTTCTATGGCAATGCTGAGTTATTTCGTTATGAAACCATTACGAGTAGCCTAGAAACATTATGTTTAGCGTGAGAACATATATATGAACATGAATAAATCCATGCAAAATGCGCGTGATTCATTTAGGAAAACTGACTAAAACCTGTTTTCAAAAGGTTGCCTTTCGCTTATTGGAATAGCTTGCACTCGCCACTGTATTTTTGCCTTATCTTCATAAATAACATATATAATATCGTCGTTTTTTATATGAAATTCTTCTTCAATGAGAAAAAAATGATCTTTCCATGGCATTCCACCACCTTCTAGGCAAACTATTTGGCCGCTTTTGTCAACCTGAAAAAAAATCTAATATATTGATAAGACTGTAGTTGATTGCAGAATGAATTTACGAGCAAGTAATGATGTTACCAAATCGCAAATTATAAGGAGGAAATGACTAGAATATAATTTGATTGCTTAATGATAAAGACAGGAATTCGTTGTCACAGGAAAAACCCCGAATACTAGAACAATAATGTACAAAATCTAAAATGCGGTAAGAAATATTTCAAACTAAAATTTAAATTCAACTGATAGACTGATAGGTAACATGACAATCAATTTATGTGCCCAATTCGATTCAAATTTCGATAAATGGAAAATCTACGCTGACAAACAGTAGAAGAAAATAGGGTGACCATTGTAACAACGAAAATAATTGAAATATAACAAACATCAAAACGATGAGTGACTGCGTTGATAACATGGCTACGCGCTGGTAGCCAAGATTTATAAAGATGAGTGAGCAGTTCAGTGAATTCCTTGCCGACCAATTTTATTGCCATCATAAATCTGTAACCAATAGGTTCGTAAAATAATTTCAAATAAACCTAAACATTGAAGTCCTCAGATGTCCGATTCGAAGTTTTTTAAAAGAGCAGTAAAAAATGCCTTTCATCCACGCTGATTGTATCCTCGTTCCATGCAGGATTTAACATTGAAACTCGAGACGAGAGTGTACCACCCAAATAATATCTAAATTTCGATAGTGTGCAACCCGAAGTATGTTTAACAGTCCATAAGTGACAATTAGTCCTATGCAGTAACTATCGTTATCTCTCTCATCATGTTCAGAAAAAGTAGTGGGTATCTTATTACCAACAAAAAAAAACTCTCTAGAATCAAATTTTTATCCATGAGTTACTTGCAAATATACCTTGGTTCACCATCAAATTGAGCAATTCCATTGTCTATAGCATCGATAGATTCCACAAATGTTTCATAGATTTTTTTGAATAAAATGTTAACCACTAGATCATGATTTTGTAACCCAAGCAACGCTCTAATAACACTCTTCCCAAAATGAGCGTAAATAAGACCCGCTGAACTTAATTTCGTATCAAAATCCATTACTCCCAACGTATTCATTGTATGAGCAAAATTTCTATAAAAATTATTACCCTATTATATAGACCTAGTAGGAAGAGAATTCTAGATGCACTATTTCACTCCAAGAAACTCTGCAAAGTTATTATGACTTTCTAGTATTGCATCCTATCACCAGCCTGGCCGAAAGCTTTAGTCAAAACAAAACTTTCGATTATATGACTAAAGAATGCAAAAACTTATTGAAATTAAGTATATTTTGCTGATAGATGATTTGCAAAGTAAATAAATTTTTTTTGTAATAAATTACTCATGATACTGTTCATAACAGACGCAAATAGGATGCAGAACTGGAAAATTTGCTTTACTCTTAATTATTGGTTTACAGCAGTTCTCAAAGCATCTAAAAGATTTCATGGTTGATTAAAGATACTCATTATTTTGGAACATAATTAAAAAGTGCTGAAAGCGTTAAAGCAAAGATTGCCACCTTATATCATTACCAGCATTGAAAGAACAAAAATAGCAACCTTTGATGATGGTCATACTTCATTGTAGCATGGTTATATTCATCACCGACATCAACCACAATATCACACAAATTCAGTATGTCCTTGTCACGACTTCTGCAAAAAAAAGAATCCATAAACTTTTATAACTAAATTGAAGTCAGCCTATAGATTGCATTAATTTTCGATTAGCTGTTTGCAGAAAACAAACGAAAAAGAGTTAAAGTAGGTTTAAAGCCAAATCTAGCCAAAACAAAGAGCTGAAAAAGTATTAGACTTCTAGACTTGTGAGAATACAGTAGCAAAAAGACAGAGAGAAATTATGAGTTAGATCTAATAAACGGGCCTAAACTCCATCAAGACCATATGGGCGACAAAGTATTATTAGATTTGAAAAAAATGTTATCGAAAAAAATGCCTTTTTACCCGAAAAGCAGAAGGAATATTTGCAAATCATCGAGAATTCCATAGCTAAAGAAAAAATTATAGTTCCGTTCACTTAAATTGATAGAAAAATGAGAAGTGAAGCTGAGTAAACACATTTACAATGAAGAATTTAAAGGAAAATGCATACCGCACAATCTCATAATTATTGTATCCAGGAAGTGATTTCAACAAGAAAATTGCAAAGACCTGAAAATAACTTGGCATTTTTACATCCAATACAGCGAAATGATTAATTGATCGTACCTGCTACTAATGGTTATATAAAATACACATATAAAATATTGATCACCACAATGAATTTTCTCCTTCATCCGAAACATCCACATCTATATAGTTTAATGTTGCAATAACACTTAATACATCTTGCAGTTAACCTACTTCCAGCATAAGACTCAGCTTTATGTACTACGTAGATAATAAGAATGGGTAGGTTGCCCATGTTCGTTTGATTTCTTCTCGCAGCAAAAGCACGTTGTTAATTTCCAGCTTTAACAAAAATCACCATCCCTATAACTTTATTTGAAAGAAATAAAACTTCAAAAAGAAACGATTACCTCATCACAGTGGAATTTCCCGTCGTGAGTACCAATTTTAGGCATTGCAGAATGTTTGGAAAGACAATACGCAGCTCGAGCTAACAATAATAACCGATGTGTAGGTAATACTGACGGCATAAATAAGATGGTGTATTAATTTAATGCTTATGAAGCATGAATGTGATATCGAGGTAAGACGAAAGCAATTAGTCGATGAGTTATTTTTGTTCAGTTTTTCGTCAACTTTAATTTTTTCTCACTCCTTATGCAAGTATATCTGCATTATGAGGAAGCACTCTTTATTCCATACTCTTTAAACATATTTCTCAATATTTATTGCAGATCTTATATCATTACTATATTTTACGAAACTTTTTTCCCTAAGATTTCTCGTCTCGTAACTAATTTTCAAAGTCCAGTGTACTTTCTCCATGCAATTTCACTGATTTTTTCTTTTTAGTTAGAAATCTCTTTATTCAAAAATCGCCAGAGGACACGGTGCTTGGGACAGTAAATATGTCTTTTCCAAATGATACACAGAAACGAAGCATTTCACAGAGGCGGATGGAAGTGTGAATCTATGTTGTGAACAGGTCATCCTTTTTCATCGCGGAAACCCCGAACAGCCATTGTCAAGCAATGCGAAAATATTGGGGACGCTATCTCTTTATTACCTGTTCCTGCTACGGTTTGCAAGTTCTTTCGTAATATGAAGGAAATGCCCCTCATACCTTGGATGGACATCCAAAGTATGATGGCGCATATGGGTAGAATATGCTGGTAGAATACGGATTAGTCCACTGGTGAGAACACTCATGGACACAGCGGAACACACTAACTACGCACTGCCTGGTATGCTAACATCGCTCGCACGTGACCTCGAGGTAACCCAAAGCATTTGCGAGGTCAGATAGATACACGGTTGCACCCTTCCCCACATGAGCCACACGTTACCTATAGCAATTTTAGGGGTAGGACGACAAGTTGCATAGCGTGTCAACGATCGATTACTACATGTGGGAAGTTGCCAGGTGGCGTGTTGTTCTTATGATGCGCAGTATGTGGGACTCTGTGAAGTGGCGTGACTGTGGGCCTGTTGGGGGTAGCAATCCTCGGGAATGTGAATTAGGCCTGGTTACATATAGTCCTCTCTTTTTCACCAGTTTGTCTCGTTATTCTCATTTTACACTAAACTGGGTTGGAAATTTCAAGATTTTTTTAAGGTCTTGGAAATACTTTCTGTTCTTTGAACTGAATACATTATAAAAGAAAGCATCGTCAGTCTTGTTTGTTTCAGCTTGCTTCCCAAGAGGTGAGTCCTTTTTCCGCGAGTCGTCTTCTTGAGCACATTTTTGAATATAATCTGGATTCTGATAGGTTGTGTTATGCGCACTGAGTAATAGCTTGATACCTTCACCAGTGTCATTCAAGCATTTTTTCCATGCTTCTGTCTTCTTACCGCTGCCGCTTTGAGTTGTGATTGGAATTAAGATGATTGGGGTTGAAGAGAATGTTGAATTCCAGTCAATAATTTGTTTATAGAAACCTTTATCGGAAAAATAGTCGTGAGAAATTCTAGTTCTTCAGATTAACTATAAGTGAATTGAGCTCTTTCCAGAATAAGAATTGTATTTGCTGAATTCGCTGTAAGATGGCTGATATACTGGATCAGCCAGATAATGATCTGGATCTGTATGGAGACGGTGAGCTTGACACTCGCTTCAGTGAACGTGATGTGTTGGGTGATGACGATGACGATATCGCTAAGTGAGGAAATCACCAAATTTTTATGACTATTTGGGAGATCTTTCGACAGGAGTACCCACTGATATTCTTCAGACACCGTTGGGAATCATCTGTTGTTTTTGCTGAATATTCTGCAGGGTTAAACTGTATATGACTTATCCACTTGACGATGAAATCACGTCTGCCTTACATGTTGCATAAATCCGGCACATACTCTGTTGAGTAGCATGTACCACTGTCGAATTTTGTAATTTTTTTCTTTTGGACTAATAATGTATTTGATGATACCCAACTTCTGGTTTAATGTTTGAGCAAGCAAAACAAAAAAAAAAACCATTATATGCAGGGATGGACAAAATAGTCACGCATCGAAAAACGGTAATACTGCAAATGAAGCAAAAATAGTGAAGTCTGAAATAAATGATACGACGGATTTATACGACGCTGCGATTGAACCATCTGGGCAAATTGTGAAAACAGAGTCGCTGCTTGTAAAATCTAGCGTTACTGCTACGCCACAAGAAAGTCAATCAAAAGCTCTTCCAGCACTCGGTGTAAACCAAAACAACACTGGTCGAAGATACTGTTGTTATATAGGTAGTTTTTTCTTCATTTCATTCATATTTTCTAACGATTAGTCGAGGTATAAATGCAAGGATTTGGTCACTATTTTCATCAAGCCATTTTATAATTTAACACAAAAACGATAATACTGATGACTAATTAGGCATATCTGCTTGGTATCCTCTGACTAATTTTATTGGGTGTTTGTAAGGTGTGTTGCCAGACATTACTTTTGGTAAACATGCATTGACTTATGTTAAATCCGAATAGGCCAGTTATATATCAAAAATTGTACTTCATTTGCATACTTCCAAAAAATGATTGTATATAAATGAAATAGTACTAATGAAAAAACTATATGCAAACGAAGTAGTATTAATAAAATTTGAAGATTAATACGCTTACAGTCCGATGTTTCTTTTTTACGCTCATATGTGGTTGAGGTTTGTTTGAAACGCTTATCACTTTCTCTGTTATCCTCAGGTAACATGACATGGTGGACAACTGATGTTGATTTGCAAACGATGATATTATCTTGTGGTGCTACGAATTTAATCGATATCAAATTTTATGAAAATCGAAATAATGGTCAGAGCAAAGGTTTTGCGTTAGCAGTTTTTACTGCTGAAAGTTCAGTCAAAACAGTTATGGAGAAATTACCACAAAAAACACTTCATGGACAGCAGCTTGTCGTTCTTCCATACACAAAAGCATCGCTGGCAAAATTCGAAGATGCCACCAGACGAGTCGATCAGGTATAGATATTTGTGTAACATGATGACTTTCAATTTTATTTTAGTTAACTCAATTTTAAGGTTTTGTTTTTCAGAGAAATGACAAAAAGGATACCAAGAAGGATGACCAAAAAACGCCGTTTGTTGGGACCATTCGCATCGGTATGCCACCACAACAGCCATTACAGCCGGGACAAATGAATATACCACCACCCGTACCATTGCGACCACAGGTCCAGGTAATGTTAGGCGCAGTCCTCACCAAAAATCTGAAGTTTTTAGGGCTTCTCTGTTAATATCATTGTTTCAGGTTCCTCCACCGATTCCATCGTTGCGTCCACCAGCTCAGGTTGCGCTAATATTGCCTCCCAATCAGCAGCCTCCGCAGTTGCGCGGTCCTCCACCAACCTCACAACCTCTTCCGCTTGGTGCACTTAGTGTGACTCGACCGCCGGTCAACCTAAGTGCTCCACCGCCAAATATACCACAAGTTCAGTTGTCAGGTAAGTGAAATTCTTATGTAGAAATTCACAGCATGTAGTGAAACAGTTGCAAGTACATTTCATTCAGTGATTTATCATTATGTATATTTCTATTCTAATTTCTTTATCTTTATTGTTTTTCCAGCAGGAGCGCCGCCACCCGGTGCTCCACCAATGAATCGACCACCTCCTGGTTTTGGCCAACCACCACAAGCCTTGCCACCAATGTCGTCGGCGGGACCATCAGGTCCATCGAGCACGTCGCAGCCAGTAACAGGAATGGCTCCACCCGGTGCTCCACCTACATCGCATCCTCCCCCTTCCTTTCCTCCGCCAGGTGCCCACATTAATCCGCAAGTATACCGTCAGAATTACGGAGGAGGTATTTGTCTTGTTTTTCATAATTAACTTTCCGTAAGAATTTAAAGTTCATTTAAGTATACCCGATAGTAAAGTCTTACTTAATGTAAATTAACATAATTGATGACAAGAACTATATACTTTCTAATTTAAAAAATTACAGGGCCAGCGTCAGTTCCTTGCAGCATTGAAGGAGTGTCAGAAGCTGAATTTGAGGAAATAATGAATCGTAACCGTACTGTTTCGTCGTCAGCTATAACGCGTGCGGTGAGCGATGCTGCCGCAAATGATTACGCATCCGCTATTGAAACACTGGTCACCGCAATATCGCTTATTCGACAAAGTCGTGTTGCTAATGATGATCGGTGCAAAGTCCTCATTTCTTCACTGCAGGTTACATTTGATTTCAAAAAGTTTTTCATCCAGTAATTATTATCATCAAAAATTTATTCTCTGCGACTGACTCTGCTGCTTATCACAAGCAATTTCAGGACACTTTGAATGGAATAGAGAGTAAATCATACAATTCATCTTCACGTAAGCATCGATCAAATCGTGATCGTTCGCGGTCGCCATCTGAGCGGTCTCGTAAGCGGCATCGTCGCTCATCCAGAAGTCGATCCCGTTCCCGAGAACGTTATGACTACTCACCACGACATTCCTCTTCATCAGGTCGACGTGCATATTAATTATTGAACGCCGTCTTACTCATGTTCAGTAAATAAGAACAAATTATGTTTTACTTTACTTTAAATGATCGACTTTTCGCCTCTTCTTGTTATCATATGTATTTTTCATTTCATTCATTCTTTGCAACTGTGGCATACTGCTGTCTCAAGATGTTTTATGCGTCCTGGGATCGATTTGCACTTTATCAGGTATGTTCCTTTTAATTCTATTGTCAACAAGACTTTCAGATAAACAATTTCTTTAAGATTTATCAGGTGGAGTCATTTTCAAAAAATTTCCCAGATCTGTCATGTGTGGGAATTACTCGTAATTATTTGCTCGTAATTATTTGATTTTTCGAAGGATAATTTAATTCATTTTGTGAATCCAAAAGCCTGGATTTTCATGCATTGTGATGGTTGCAGTAATCCTCTACGCTTTAAAGAAAAGCGCATTGCCAACCAATGGCATAGAGGTTGTTGCAGTCGTTCAAACTTTCGGTTCTTTGATATCAGATTTTCTTAGTCTTTGCTTTCGTACTGAACCTTTGTCATAAATTCGATTTTGACCGTACTTGCAATCTTTTTCGGGTTGTAAGGATTTCATTGCTTAGTGATGAATCTTAAGTCGTTTCGAACTGTAATAAAATTTTTGCTAGGAGAATTTATAAATATAAAGGACCATTTTAAATTTATTTTGCAGTACCTCACCTTAAGTGGTTAAATTGGTTTGCGAAATAGTTTTAATGCTTTGAATATGCCCTCTATATTTTATAAATAATGCCTTTTTTGTACATTATGATGTTTTCACCACCATCACTTCTCTATTTTTACTCTATTTTGATGTACGTGACAGCTATGTAAGTAGAATGAGGTTTCTATAGCAGGCCCAATTTTGTTTCATTTCGGCTTTTGTGTATGCGCCAGTATTAATTAACAGTCATCACCTTTTTACTTCACCTTTCAGTTGTCTTAGATCTAGTAATTTAACAGTATGTTTCTTATTTCTATAATAACATCAGTAACAGATTCTCATAATTCGCTGACTCACGCTTCGTAAAAAGATTATCATTTTTTTTTTTTCATCCGGCTGATCTATCTTCCTGGCTTAAAGAAATTAAGAAAATACTGTCATATGTTGACGTCTTGAAAATGAAATTTGTTCACCTCTTCTCTCTTAACGTTTTCTACATGTACTTCTCGCTTTTTGCTCAAAATCTTATTTGAATTTTTTTCACGAAGAATCTCGGTGTTTTTCCTTATTCTCTTACTTTTAATTAAAAGGGTTTTGAACAAAAAAAGAATGAGCTTTGATAGAAGTTGAAGTTTACGAAAAATTTTGACGTCGTTTAGCAGTGATTCCTATGCCAAAAGTTCTATCCTACCCGCAATTAAGACGTGATTCAGTACCTCGAAATATGTCATTTATTGCTAAACATGAGTCAGAACTGTCGAAAAAGCATCAGGAGAAGGTAGAGGTTATCACTGCTGTTGTCATAAGATTGTTCAAAAAGTTATCTTTGTGGGGTTCTGTAGATTGTGCATATAGTATTATACGAACTTTCATATCTCGAATTTCTTTCAATTGGCAATAAAATTATTATCTCTCGAAAGGAATGATGCTTAGACTATTACTCTTTTTCTGTTTTAGTTTTCTTCAGAACTTATAATGAACCTAGGTGCGCTGTGCCTTGTTAATTCATGTTCATTTGACTGCATTAAGGTTTTTTTTCTTTTTTTTTTTTTTGCACACATTGCAAGACACTTCATCTTTTTGTTGTATCATTTAAATACACTTCTGATTTCGTAATGAATTATTTTCGATATAGGCGTTATGAATGCGGATGATGTTGAAATGTTACGGATGGCAGTCGGTTTCATTATGCTTTCGCGATGGTGATATTGTTAGTGGATCGCAGTGGTTATGATTATAGATGGACGCAGTGCAGCATTTTCAAATTTATGCTATTCTTAAAATATAAATCCCCTTTTCTCCTAAAAAATGTCGTTTGGTATTGTCATTGTAATGAAAACAGTTCTTATGTCTGTTGACTTTTCTACTTCCTTTCAGTAAATAAAAGTTTTTGAAAAAACAAGAATTGTTTGTGTTTTTATGAAGCATTTCAGCGCGTTAAATTGTATCTGGAGGTGAGCATTTTTTTTGTTAATTTTGGTCACAGTTGTTTTCTGCTTATTTTGTTTCTGTTACCAGTCCACATAAAATTTTAATGTCACATAAAATCTTAATGTTCCAAAATGCTATACAGGTGATGACGTTTGCAAGAGTTAAGTGAGGTGTGCTTCTTCAAGTTGTTTGTAGATTAATTTTGATGACCTCAATGTAACCTAATGATAGTACTCGAGCATATTTTCTTTGCTTCCAGTGAAACTTTTCAGGAAGTTTTCTTGTTATTTGTAAATTCCAGATTTCTGAATCTTCCTGAATAACTCACAAATTGCTTTCTGGAAGTTTCGAGAAGTACTGCCAACATTTCAATGTTTGAATTTTATTGTGAAATTCGCTCTTTGATAACTATTTAGAGTTGTATTAATTATGTAAAATATTTCAGATGGAAATCATTGGTCATTATAGTTATGCAGCCAGCGAAATGTTCATCTTCATGCGGGTTTATTATATACAACGTCCTCCGGTGCATTATTACGCTTGTTGTCTTTCGGCATTGATCTCAACAGCTTTGGACCTATCAACTGTTGAATTTTTGTTGTGCCTTCGATATTTGTCAGTATATCGGAAAATTTTCTTGTCAAGCTGTGAAACAGCATGTTACATCTCATTTCGATAATTTGTAGATCTCTCATTTTTGAATAAATACATTGAATTGAAATACTTTTGGCATGAGTCTTTTTAGATACCTGAAAATGGCCTTTCTCACGGTTCTCACTTGACTCCATTCCTCTTCATGAACTTTTGCTCGTTAGTATATTGAGCACTCTTGATGTCTTTGTGTTTGAATTCCTTTTATCAACGGAAACTGCGTAATGGATTTAATACAATACGAAACATGACATGGTGAGATTAAGAATCGAACAAAAAGGTAACTAGTGCTTGAATTATTATATAGGGCTGCAGATGAAGAGTATCTAATAATAACGCGTCATTGCTGTTAAGCTTAAGTCGGTTTTGCAGTTATAATTGCAGCAAACTTATCCGAGCAGGAAGCATCTAGGATTTCATGTATCGAACTTAGAAGAGAATATGCTTGTTAGTTAAAGCGGACATATAAAACAGGGATTTCTTAGACATAAGAAAAATTTACTCTTCCTGAAAGGTTCATACGCGGATTCTTTGCATTCTGATCATTTCGTGAAATGTCGATAGCTTCATCCAACAAATTGGCGAAAAACTGTGTTTGGAATATTATTCGATTCCAATGATTCTATGTTTAATTTGTCATTATTTATAAATAATGAGACTGAGACTGGTTATCAGTGATGGACGCAAATACAGCGAATAATAATGCGGATGATTTACATTGACACCCGTATAATTGTTAGTACGTTAATATCCCTGTTCGTTCATCCTATATCTCTGGGCGTATTTGAAACGCTGTCACGACAGTGGATTAAAAAGCCTCAAAAATAACGTTCGAAATGACCTTGGTTTTGATGAGAATGTTCCTAATTCAGTCGCTAATCTCTGCGTTTTTCGCATTTCTTGTTATAGTAAAATCCTAAATTGCCATTTCCGTAATTTCCACAATTTGCTAATTTGCTGACGATTTCATATTTTTCATCAAGCTATTCATAGCTATTTTAATGTTATTTCAAGTTTTTTCGAGGTTTTTCTCACAACTCCAAAGATGGTACATGTTGTTAATGTAACTAATGAAGTTGCTATAAATCACACATAAAAGGTACGCGGTACGCACAATAATAATAGCAATAATAATATTAATAATAATAATAATAATAATAATAATAATAATAATAATAATAATAATAATAATAATAATAATAATAATAATAATAATAATAATAATAATAATAATAATAATAATAATAATAATAAAAATGATTAGAATGTTACGAAGAAATGCTAGGTGATAATATGAAAAAATACACAATAATGGTAACGTTCAACCAATATCACTCGTAATGCTAATGTAACGGTTGCTTCTTCTACAGCTAAATTGATGATAATATTTTACGATGCTCCACCCTTTATGGAACATTCATTCATTTTGCTTGCTTGCTTGTTTACCCGATACTCGAGAAAAGACTGGATAGTTGCTGATGATGATGATGATGATGATTATAATGATGATGGTGATGATT